AGCTTATATTAGTCACGATAAATATATTATCTTAATTTGTTATTCTTTATTAGGCCCGGCTTTAAGTTATAGAGGGTGAAAGGATGTTGAAACGTCTCACTGATGTGCTTGATGTTTATGACAGTTGTAATAGTCATCAATATATAAGTTTAAGCCATAAATAGCGTATGTCAAGTACAAATGGTTGACCTAGCAAACTCGAATTTCAAGCTACGATCTCGGTGTTTTTTCCCTGCTAGCAGAGGTCGTCGTGAGAGACCTCTGCTAGCAGGGAACGGTGTTTTTAGAGGTGGTCCGAGGGGACCGGTGCCTCCTCATTTTTATTATTTGTAAGTAATTCTTGGTATAATGAATGGATCTATAGCTAATCTATCCAGCTGGTAAGTGTCCCGGTCGGATATGGGTAAAAGTCCAACCAAAAACTACAACAGACACTTAAATAAAGAAAAACAAAAACAAAAAAACATTAAAATTATATCTCAAATGTAAAAAACTATACTTGCTAATATGTCATATCCTAGATTAGTCTAATCAGAAAATAATTTTTACATCGATCACTACATCCAAGTGACATGCGGGTGGTCAGGGTCGAAGCTCTCCTTTTTATAGAACTCATTACATTGTTTTTTAAATAATGATAGGCTTAAATGAGAGGTCCTGAGTTTATCAGGCAGGTTTTCTATAAATATGGTAATCTGTTGAAAAAGGTGCCTTTGAATAATTCGGTTCTGACTTTGTTAATCTTTAACTTATTACTAGAATATGACCTTCATCTTTTGTCTGAGCAAAAGTCCAAATATCTTCCAACTGAATAGTTACAGTAACCACACTTCAGTTTATAAAATGTTGTTGTCTTTAACTTCTCTTTGGTACACCAATGGGAGAAGATTGAGCTGCTGAAGGCGTTCATTGTAAGTTAAATTAGGTAGGAGAAGCCGCGTAGCACGTCGTTGGACACCCTCAATAAGCTTTATTAAGGTGACAAACTTTGGACTCCAGGTTTCAGAGGCATACTCCAAATGCGAACGCACAATGGCCACGTAGAGAGATCTAAACGTTGGCAGAAACTGATCGCTCCTGCTGCTGAGTGAACGACGGATAAAACCTAACATCTTTTTAGCTTTGTTCACCTGGGCGTAGATGTGCTCGTTCAATCGAGCATCACAAGTGATGAGAACGCCAAGGTCACGCTCAGCCTCCACTCTCTTAAGTGGCTGCAATTCATACATACGGTACGGTAGCCTACGACAAGTCATCCCAGAGTACCAAAATAAGCCAGTTACAGGTATGGGAATATCCATTTTTCCTCAGTGAAAAACAACTCTTCATAGGGAGTAATCCTGCAAGAGTAGCCGCCTTTTTCAAGCATATCGGTGTTCAGTATATGTCCTTAAGGACTTACTACAAAATTCAGAGAGTTTACCTTGCCCCCGCAGTTAATTGATGCTGGGAAAATGAGCAACTATCTCCTCTGCAGTCTCTTCAGGGCAAAGCAATAGCTCTTGGTGGAGATGGGAGGTGCGACTCTCCAGATCATTCCGCTAAATATGGTGCATATCATCTGGTTGAGCTCGACCTTAATAACGTTCTGGTTATCGAACTTGTGCAGGTAAGTATCACCTTTTTACGTTTACATTTCATGCAGTCCACATTAATTTTGTTATTACAGTGTATGCGCCAGTTCAAAGCAATCACGAACAGTAATATATACATGTACTAACAGCCCTCGGCTCTTTCTAAAAGTTAAAGAATCTGTCGAGAATGTGGGGCCCTCTTAATTTTATTGGTCCAAAACCATATTGTAAGATAAATCAGTTTCCACTGAATAAATTAAAATCCCGGCTCAATTTGTGTTTCTGGGTACTCGGACCTGAATAATGATACTGAACAGAGCAAGATACCAATAAAACGAAGCCGGTATCAATTGTACTCCCGTTTACACTCAGTTTTGTAGAGAACAGCCCTAGTGACTCTACCTTGTCACCCACGTAGCTGTTTTGGTCTCGTCACGTAACGCTCCTCCCTAACAAGGGGGGAGGCTTTCTTTGATCTTCAAAGCCAAAAACAAAACAGTGGCTTTTCGGGCCCTGTAATTACTGATACTTTTTTCAGAAGAACTCGATGTGTTTTTAACGGGTGGGATCTTACTTAAACGAAGGTTGTACTTTTATTCTTTGGTGGGGGGAGCATAATGAATACAGGTTCTTTATCAGTACAAATGTTGTTTGTTACGTGTGAAGAACGATTAAATTGAAAGTCTATTAATTGTAATGACTGAGGATAGGGACCCAAAGACATAAAGCCTTTTTCAGGTCTTTGCGCTCCTTACCATCATATCTTTTTTTTACTTTTAGAGCAATGAAGTTAAGAGTTCATACCACTTGGAGCTCGAGGGCTTAAAAAGGGGTCTTGCATTCATCAACAACAATGGAGCATCAAGACATTGGTTACTGACCGTCATTCTGGTATAAAAAAAGTATTTGCGTGAGAACAAACAGCATACATACGCATTTTAAATAAAATAGCTTTTATTTCCTCATATTCAGAGACTGAGCGCAACAAAAGGCCTTTCTAGACAGCTGACTTGAAGGAATTTCTTGGCCAGTTTTCTGGGATCTACAGCTGTATGAGTCCCGTTATAGACAGACCTCCCTTTTTTTAAGTGAGGCTTGCTTGAGCTTATGCACTAGCTTAATGATGTGCCTGTATGTTTTGCACCAAAACACACACATTTTTTCTACCAGGGATCAAAGGGGGTTTTACAAACTGAATAAAAATGAAGTATTAAAGGTAACTTACCAATGTTACAGGTTCTGTGGTTCCACTGTAAGCAAACGTCACATTGAATTCCTTGTTGCCGCGATGTAACAGGTCTTTTACACGTGATACAATTTTTTTATTGTCGGCCGTTCTTGAAATTAAGCTTTTGCAGTCGATAATTAAGGTTTGGTGATCAATGATCGGATGCGTTTTCTATGGATGTTTGAGTTTTTATACATACGAACGGGATCACATTAATTCATCTTAATCGTGATTTGTTGGTTTCTTTCATTAACTGAATAGGTGATAACTGCTGCGAATGGTGTTATACATATAACAATGGCACGCGCGCGTGTTTTCTGAGAGGTAAACTTTCTTTTGTGTAACCTTTCCCGTGACATGACCTATTATCAGAACCAAAAAGTGAATATCGAATAGTGAACAAACAGAAGGGATTGACGATATTTGCCGTCAACACGAAAATCTGGAGAACTAACTTGTGCTAATCAAAAGTTCAGCCAAGGAGAGTCATTTCAATTAGATGGTAGCACCACTGGATTTCATGGCAGGTGGTATCTTATCGCAGGACTCGGCGTTTTCACGGCAGCAAGTGCTCTCCCGCCCAGTGTGCATGGGTACACAGTTTCCACAAATACACCTATATTAAGAGTTTAAGATTGTTCATGACAAAATTGTATCAAAACAGTAAAATGTCCAGCATTTTGATGTAATAATTCAAAACTCAGCATAAACATGAGTCAGTCCCAACATCGAATATAAAACATTCTGCCCATTCACGCATTACATAGTGAAAAGTGATTCGACAAAGACAATAATGGACAACTGATAACAAGAAACCTTTCCGGAGTTAAATTCAACAGAATTTATTGCCAACTTTCCAGAAACAATAGAGGAAATGAACGAAACGCTCACCATTCCACATGACCAAGTCGATCCTCGTTGACATCGTCCAAGAATGCATCGGTTGAGTCATCCGAAGCAGAAGATTATTCTTCTGAAACAGTTGGCTCAAACTGGTAAGGCTCAACTTCCACGTTCAAAGTTAAAAAATAGTAAAACCAGGGCAAAACCGAAAAAAATTGGGAACAAGAACAAAATACAATGAAGACAAAGCGCAGCAAAAAGATGATGGCCGCTCGGACCAACATTGACGTCACTAATTTCCATTTTCTCCTTCCATTTGAGAAACGTTTTCGTGAAGGCTTCGCAAATGCTCGGATTTCGATCTTTTAACTTTCTCTAAAGGCTTGGAAAGAAAAAGCTTTACCCAAATCTCACTTAGGATGGTTCTTTTTAGTGTTTGATGAAGGTAAAGCAACAAAAGAAAATATCTCAATTTTTGGCTCATTTGACCTTTAATGTTCACCACAGATAGTCCATGAGCCAAAGGGCAAAAAATGGCGGATTGGTACCAGTCGAGGTGGCAAATGCTATCATGTATTTTATTAAAGCTTATCACTTGAAGGCTCAAAATACATATGATAGCAAGGTTGCCATGGCAGCTGTAGGGTGTCACGTGACCTTAAAAAGAGATGTCATGCACAGTCAGTTCAGCTGACTGTATAGCGTTGCAGCTTAGTATATGTCTTAGTAGTTAGCAAAATTAGGCAACTTGTGTTGTGTTAAGAATGGTATTACGATGTCATTAAATGCAGACACGATTTTCATCTTTTGTAGTCGTCTCAGTCACATGACATTGCCGTCATAAGACCACTTCGCCATAATTTCACAAAAAACTTTTAAGTTATTAAAATACATTATTTCTAAAATACTCAATACTATATTTTAGGAAAGTTAAATAAAATGTTAAATAAAACAAAAAAAATGTCATGTATTACAGTATTAATGAAAAGAATGAATACTGATAACTCTTGCGTTTGAGGTGGGAATCCTGTGGCTAAGTCGCTGGAAACTGGGTCCTAGTTACATAGACGCCATCTTGTTTTCTTCGCGATTAATATATACAGCGCTTGTAGAGGTGAATTTAAATTATCATTATGGAATCAAACATGCCAAAGAAAAGAGCAAAGGCAGAGCCTTATTGTTTAATTCATTGTACTGACGATAATGGAAAACTGGTGAGTCCAAACTCACTAGAATCTTGGAAGACATTACGAGAGGCTGGTGAAATATGAAAGCATGAAGGTATTCTGAGTGTAAAAGTAGACTCGGATAATGAAGTGCCAGATGGTGTTTTTTATCACCGTAAATGCCGAAGTATGTTTACACTAAAAAGAGAACTTAACAGAATTGTTGCCAAAACAAAGCAGAATGAGAAAGCCAGTTTAGTCGAGGAAAGCTCACGAGAAAGAAGAGCATCTATTCGAAGTAATCCAAGTACGTCTAGAGTGTATGAAAAAGAGTGCATTTTCTGTGGCAAGAAAGATAAATATAAGAAAGGGATAAAGGAAGGTTTGACACAAGCTAGAGAACTAAGAGTTAATGATTCAGTTAGAAAAGCTGCAATTAGTAAGCAGGACTCAAGAATTCTGGCCATTCTTTCACGTGATTTGGTTGCAGCCGAAGGTCACTACCATCGCACTTGTTACAGGCATTACACCAACATAAAGGAATCTGACAAAGGCGAAGAATGTGAAGAAGACGATGACAGTGACTATGTAAAAGCTGAAAGTAGTGCTTTGTCTAGAATGTTCGACTATATTAGAAATGACCTGTTCAAGAATAATGATATCATAGAGCTTTCCAAATTAAGTGAGATGCTAAGGGATGGATTTTAGAGTCTGGTGTGAAAGAAGTAAAACTATCAACGACAAAACACATCCGAAGAAAACTAAATGATGAATTTGGAGACTCTTTGCTGACAATTCAAACAGAATCCAACAGAGTCCTTGTGTATCCTGACAGTCTCACACGAGAGGAACTTGTTCTCTCTAACTACAAACTTCAAAAGGAAGTTAATATTTTGAAAGCTGCTCATTCCAACATCACCAGTGCTAAGGAGGTAGCTTATGAGATTCGTCAATCTGTCAAAAATCACTGCAACAATCAGGATTGGCCCCCAGACCCTTCGAAACGTGATAAGGAACACATTGATACCCCACTTCTTGTTAATACATTTCTGCAGCATCTACTGATGGGGGATGATTCAGCGCTAACTAAACGAATGATGTGGCTAAGGAACTCTATTGCCCAAGATTTGGAGTTTGCAATAACTAGAGGCAGATATAAGCCCGTCAAGCACATATTACTTGCATTTGCAGTCAAGTCATTGACTGGCAACGTTGAGCTAATCCAGCTGTTGAACCGCCTTGGCCATGGTATTGCCTATACACAACTCGAAGAGATTGATACTTCTCTCTGTTTGCAGAAACTTGCTATGGCAGCAGAAAATTGTATTCCTCTGCCTGGCAATATACATCCATACACAAGTATCACTTTGGCCTTTGACAACATCGACAGGATTGAAGGCACTTTGTCAGGTGGTGGAACATCACATCGTGCAAACGGCATTGCCGTACAACCCGCAGTGTGTGGCCCTCACCCAGAGAAAGCCTACCTAAGGTGGACAAGTCAAAGCAAAGATCATGCGCAGTTGTAGAGGAGCCTTTACCCATTTACAACATTGGCCAACGAACTGGGCCACCACCAAGGAAAGTGAAAGAGGTTGATGGCAACACCATTATCAAAGAAGCCAGAAATAAAAATCTTCTATTTGTGCTTGCACGTTTGCATTACGCAGCCCACAAGCAAAAAATAAGCAGTTGGACTGGCTTCAACATCAAAGTTCACGACAAAGAGAATATCGTCGACAGTAATGTGGGTTACTTACCAACCATAAACGCCCCAGCTACCAGCATGTCTACAGTGAATGAAATACTGAACCGATCCTTGTCAATAATGCACAGTCTTAATCTCACTAGCATAACATGTGTCTTCGACCAGGCAATTTATTGCAAGGCCCTCGAGATTAAGTCAAAGAATGTTGATATCTATAAGCCAGTTGTTCTGCATCTTGGTACATTTCACACTCTATGCACACTGCTTTCCATCATTGGAGAAAGGTTTCAAGATGCCGTCCTCAAAGATTATGTATTGAATCTGGAATTGTCGCTGAAGGCTCTGTTTCTGCCCTGCGAGAAGGTCGAAGCTGTAACAAAGCTATTCGAGTCCATAAACTTGCATATGAGGCATTGGTGAGAGTAGCCTGGAGGGGATTTCAACCTTGGGTAGATGAGCGTTATCCTATAGACATGGATCACATTAGGAGAGCTCTGGACGAAGTTGCCAACCTAGGAAATGATTTAACCAAGGACAACCACGATCGTGTTATAGAGAGCCAGCCGTTCAAGTGTCTAAATGAGCGCTTTGAAGAATATGTAGACCATCTCCGAAAAACAAATGGTCCTCTCTCAGCATTCTGGATGTCATATATTGACATGGTTGAGCTAACGCTGCACATGGTAAGAGCTTCAAGGGAAGGAGATTGGACGCTACATCTCTCTTGTATTCGTCAAATGCTTCCTTCGTGCTTTGCCTACGATTCCATTAATTACGCCCGGTACATGTCCGTGTACTACAGTGACATGACAAGTCTCCAAGAAGAGCACCCAGAGGTATATGAGTTTATGAAAACGGGCGGCTTTTCAGTTCAAATGAGCTCAAAAAACACATTTGGTCGAATCCCTGTGGATCAAACCGTTGAAGAAACGGTAAATAAAGACACACAGACCGCGGGTGGAACTAAAGGTTTCAGCTTGAAGTCCAGTGCAGTACAACGATATTATATGACAGCAGAGTTCAGAAGTCTATTCCTCCGTAACTTGCGAACCATGGTAGGATATGCTCAAGGAAATAATGATCATGTTGACCTCGAACAGCCTCGAATAGCTAAAGACGAACAAGACGTAAAAGCAATGGTAGATCTTATTGAAAGTAACTGGACTAATCCATTCAGCAGTTACCAGCCCCTCTTAAGTATTTCCACTGGTGCCACTGCTTCTCCCGAAATTGAACGTGACCTGAGCAGAGCGTACCTAGTAGGGGAGACCGCCTACCAACAATTCAAAAAGGAACGCCTCGAGCCGGAGAAACTACCAGGGAAGTTCCATCATACACTGAAAAAGCAAAAGTTAAAGACCTTCAGTGATCATAATAAAACCAAAAAGGTGAGGCAGAGCAAAGGCAACGAGACAGTACTCCGTGCTGATCGTAATTTGTTCGCACGAATGATAATCATCGCCGAAAGCCGACAGCTTCAGATGCGGGAGGTTCTGTGCCATCCTCTGGGACCCCTTCCTGCCTCTCTTGCAACAAGCAATGGCTTGCCACGAAAGAAAAACAAAGCACTACTTGGAAGGGAGTTAGAGAAACTGGTTCAGCCAACAGTGGTTGTTCAAACCCCATCGGCCTACCTGGTCGACGGTATGTCATTAATTCAGAAACTGAAGGTAGACCATCTTACATTTGGTGAAATTGCTGAAATGGCATTATCAAGAGTCTTGAGAGAGGGCGAGGGTAGTAGCAGAATAGACGTTGTGTTTGACGTGTATAGGGACCTGTCAATTAAATCAGTGGAGAGAGAGTTGAGAAGTGACTGAAGGAGATTTCATCACGTTTAAAAACCTTTCAAGCAGCCAGAAGGTTAAGCAATTCAGAAGCTTTTTGCAGAATAGTCAGAATAAAACCAGCCTAATCAAATTTGTCGTTGATCACTGGAGTAAACTGTCTTGCCGATCAAAGCTGCAACACAAGACACTTTATGTTACATGTGGGAAGCGTTGCTACAAGCTAACAACAGAGAGCGCACAAGAAGAAGAGGAGCTGCGATTAGATCAAGAGGAAGCCGACACCCGCCTCCTCCTTCATGCTAGACATGCGACAAAATAACCACTCAATGCCATAGTCATCTCATCTGAGGACACTGACGTACGCATTCCCTGTCTTGCTTTTTCAAATGACGTCAAAGTGCCGCTTTTCCACCGTTGCGTTTCACAGCAAATGGCTAGATATATAGACATCGGAAAAATCGCTTCTGCAATAGGTCTTCAAGTATGCAAGGCTTTGCTTGGGCTACATGCCTTTACGGGCTGTGACTCAGTTAGCTCATTTGCAGGCATTGGCAAAGTAAAGCCACTGAAGATTCTGCGAAAGAACGATGAATTCCAGGAAGTGTTTGCAAGACTTGGAGAGGAGTGGTCAGTAACGGAAGAGCTCTTTGGGAAGTTGGAAGCCTTTGTCTGTGCTCTCTAGGGGCCAAAAAAGGTACATCTGATGTAAATGAGCTTCGGTATGCTCTTTTCTGTGACAAGAAAGGTGAGGCGGAATCGCACCAGCTACCGCCGTGCAGGGACTGCTTAAAAAAGCACTGCCAAAGAGCTAATTATCAAGCTCCAGTTTGGAAGAACTCTCTTCGCAATAATGAAGTGCCAACTCCTGTGGGCAAAGCCTGGTTTCTCGAAACGAATGCACACGGTGAAAGACTTGAAACCGACTGGATGGATGGCTTGCCTGCACCAAGAGCAGTGATCGAGCTAATCGCATTCACTTGCAAGAAGTCTTGTGATGAAACCACATGTGATTGCACCCTTAATGGCCTAAAGTGCTCATACCTCTGTAGGCTAACAACGTGCTCCAACCAGCCAGCGGAAGAGGGAGACGTCATTGTAGAAGACGATAATGATGAAGTTCTCGATCCGGACGTAGAACTAACTTTATAAACTGTTTTTTAATGCTTAAGATCGCAAGATGTCTTAACTGCTAGCCCTTGTGCTAATTTGTATGAGGCATTGATTACAGGCAAAAGGTTTAAGAAGGTCATGTACAGGTAATGGTTTGATGGAAAACAAACTAGTGGAAATGATTTATTGACGTATGCGAAAGCTTTTGGACAAAAGAGCTTTCAGTGCATAAAACATTAGAAACAATTTAGAGCAAAAGCCGACAACTGGATTTTTTTAAACCTATGAATGGTGCTCCACAGGTTACCCAGTATTGCTTCTACCAAGAAATCTATTGAAAATAAGAACATCTTCAGACGTCTATGCATTATGTCAATGCCATGACAGGTTTTACTAACATTCTAAACAGTAAGCACTAAATGGTTAATAAAATGAGCACCAGGAAAACGAACAGTTTCTAGTGTTACTGACTCAATCAGTAGAAATGATGTTGGTCTCACAAGTTATTAATTATATAAAGTGTTAGTTGATATAGAAATTGTACTAAAAACGTAAAAAAAGCTTCTTAAAGTTGTAGTCATATTATCACACTCTTATTTTCTCTTGGTTGTACAAAATACATAGCAAATTCGCAACATACAGCTACCTTGGTGGCAATATCTACTACTGCACAGGGTGGCAACTTTCAGGTCACGTGACAGCCTCAAGCTGCGAATGTAACCTTGCTATCACATATTTTCTTATTATGTATCACAAGAGCTTTAAGAAAATATATGATAACCTTTGCCACCTCAGGTGGTACCAAAATTTGCTTTGGCTCATAGACTAAGATGGTTTGTGTTTCGTCGTCCGCCATCTGCATCAACACTAACACTGGGGACTTCTGATACTAATTCTTTCAGGCGCATTTGGTCTCCTACAGTGCTGAGACCACAAACATCCAACTGAGCGAAAGATCGGAAGACTAAACAAAGTTCCCTAGATATATTATGTTCAATTGTCGAGTAAAAGGAATTAACCCGCTCCTTGCCCAAAATATGACTTGGAAAGAAAAGGAAAAGCAAAACAATAACAACAAAACCTTGATAGCCCATTTCTATGCCGCAAAAGGCCTTTTTTTGCTTTTAATGGCAGACCACTCACCTTGCGTTATTTTTTCGATTTAGCCAGCGCTGAATGCGGTCCTGACACAAATAGTTTCTGATAATATTTAAGTTTATATTGAAGATTACCTTCAGTTGTGTTAGCTTGCATTTGACAGGTGGTTTGATGCTTTGAGGTTAAAGGAAAGTGACCTTTCTATCATCCAGCAATGCACCTGTAAGGGCTGTCCTATAATACTTAAGAATTCACAAGAGCTTTTTGGCATTGATAATCTGATTTTGTTAGTCGATTGATGAGGAGGTCCGAAAGAACTTGATTCGTACCAGCAGAAGAGAAACTCTCTTTGCAATAACGGTGTGGAGAAGGATAACAAAGCTATTCCTTGAGTCGACGATACATAATCAGTTAAAAAGCAGTTTTGCCTGAGCGGCTTTCACACCTGTTTGATGACTATTCTGTCCTAATGCTTCGCACCCGCTGTGTCGAAGTGCATTCTATGCATGAGAAATAAGGGCATAAAAAAGGCTGACTTAAACCAAGCTGTATCGTAACCCTGACCTAGATATCGCTTTTAAAGTGTAAAGAAAAGATATTTCAAGTACATTTTACTCACAATTAGGTAACTCCTTGACAGATGTTCAAAAGAAATGCTTTGAGAAAATGTAAACAACTTACTTTTGTGACGCAGAAGGAATGGAAGAAAGACCCTTAGCAACCATTGCTACCGATAAGCCTCGCTTTTGTGCTTACATTGCCATATTTGCAATCGATCTATGATCGAAAAAATTACATAGCATAAAAAGATATGGTTTGTGGGGCCTGAAAAGCAATTTTTTTAATCTCAGGTGACAAACCCCTTAATAAGTTGTATCTGAAAAACAAAATTAATATTGTCTCCCCTTGTGCAAAAATTAAACAAGACGCTGTGGGAGCGTTTATTTGGACATGGTCGTACAACGGGTATGATACTTTGAACATGCCTTATTGTAGCTAAACAACTGTCATCATATCTTACCAGAGAAGATAAATCCTTTACTCCACTGTTTGCTGAACCACACAGCTTATACAGTATGTCCTAATCCACAACAAAAATTGTGTCATTTCATGACAATGTTTGAAAATATGTACATCTTCAATGCAGAAATGCTTGGAGCCAAATTGCAACATAGGACATAAGTGGTTACAGGCCGGAGAGTAAGTTTTATCTCAGCTCCACTGATACTGACACTTTGAGGAAGATTGACTGACAGAGGTGTTTTCACACCCATCACATTGTACAGTGTATTCCGGTTAGTAACAAAGGCAAATAAATTTCCTTAAGTCCAGTATCCACGAGGATTAACAAGAGAGTAACACATTGGATAAACTGCTATAGGGCAGCACTGTTTACAGGAACATTGGTAACTATTAGCATTTGATATACTACAATGTTCAACATTGCTTGAGTAAAGATGAAGTTCAAAGGTGGCAATATGTACACCTTTAAGTGCATATATATCCTCATTCCTATGTAGAGTCTGAACTTTATTGTACTAATTTATGCATGGATGGTATTTCCAACATTACACATGTCCCTTCACTATGACTGTTATGATACATATCACTAGCATGAGAATCAAATATCCCCCAGCCTCAATGCTGTAGATACCAACACCAATATTTGCAACCGTTAAAATGAATGAGTTATAGTTCAGTGCCAAGAGTGTTTCAAATGCTGTACCCTGTGAGTGACATAATTACAGTAGTGATACCCCTCAATTCTGGGATCACCGTGGATGTTACAAGTATAACTGTCACTGTATTCAAGGTGGAAAAATTGCTCAAACACTGTAACCATTTCTGTTAACTTTAACATAGATTGTCTTGCAAGCAGTGACAGACTAGAATATAATTGAATACCAGCGATCATTACTTGAGTCATATCATCAACTGAAGTAATCTTTGTTATCTTACCTTAAATTAAAGCGCACAGACTCATTGCGACGCATTGTTGTCCAGCGTTTTCCCCAAATACTGTAACATTTCCTTGACAGTATGGAGCATGAATTGTTTTTGTAGCATCTACATAAACTGAAGGTCCTGGATTCTTCTCTATATCAGTACAAAGCTTAAATTGGCCAAAATTAACCCGGTGATTCAAACTGTTGTAAGCACTATAAAATGGATAATTGCATGTACAGAGGGGCAAATTCTTACTTAAAAGCCTATTTCGATATCTCATTCCACCTAAATCGCCTGTGCTTTGATGCTTGGACGACAGATACACCTTCCCTCGTTTACGAACTAGTTTTGGAGTTGCCCTTTAAGTAAAAACCTCACACTGTTAGAATAACTTCTGTACCTGTTTAAGTGTAAACCTTTTTTATTTTTAACGTAACGATGAATTTCAGACGACAATTGTGTGTTTTTCCGAATACTCTTCCAAACAAAAAGGTGTCACTTTCCGTGTTTTTGTTCATCGGTAGTCTGCTAGGTGCATGACTGCGTTGAGAGAAATGACTAACCTGATTTAAAAAAATGGAATTTTAAGTTCTGTTATAAATAAATTTCCCAAGACGAGATCTCAATTCAACTTCTTTTATTTCCTCCACAACACAACACAATTTTCCTTCTGTACAACTAGTTCATTACCTTCTCTTGTCGTCACCTCGCTGCCATCAAAATACTCTAACACAAAACTTGCTGATAATGCAAAACCCCGACGCACAGCATCGTACATGTACCGCGTCACAATGTACACAATTAGATGAAAAAACACAACACGGAATACAAAAACAAGTACATTAACCCTCACCCTGCTAAACAAAATTGAAATAATAGAAAGAATTGTTGCAGTTATCACAGTAGTTCCAAAAGAAGCCTCAGTCCCTTTTGGTTTCAATTGTTGACAATCGTCTTTTCCTTCATCGGAACAGATTTTTATCACAGGCAACTCGTCGTGTTCCGCAATGCAAAAATCAAAATCACTATTGTCACACTTATAACCAGCTACACAAATCTTGTGACGCTCAAACATTCCTCTGTTCAAACTCTTATCCATTTTACACGTACACGCCCGATATTCCGATTTGTCATTGCGTCTATGGGGTCCATGAGTCTTTGATGTCCTTGAATGTCTTGATAATTTCCTTTGTTTTTCTTTGAGTTCGCGGACCAGCCCATTTCGAAAACACTCAGTGTTATTTTTTAGTGTGGGCCTACGGCGAACAGTGTGTGCATTTGTAATTGTAACCCGGGATAACATAATTGAACAATATATTAACACGCTCCTCGAAACACCGCGGCCAAATGTTATCGAAATTGTTTCTTACCGCTGCTTTGAAAAATTTCGGATCAAACGATATCCAAATCGTCCCTCATTGGATTATCCACTCGACCTAACAAAATTGACCAATTACAAAATAAACAAAAGAAAATGGACATAAAATAATGAAAACAGCAAATTAAGATGACCTCTTAGGAAACGTGCAATTAAAACTGTCTTTCTATGATTGGTGCATTTCGATCCTCTCGTCAAAAAAATGTCAGACGCCAATCATCTTAGTAGACCTCTTAGGAAACGAAAGTTTACATCAACGGGTTCAAAAGGTCATTGTTTGTGATTTGTGATTGGTGGATTTCGATCCGTTTTCTGAGTTTCTGTGTTTCAAGGTTCGTTGCTTGTGATAAACCGAGGTTAATATTCCAAATATTTCTGATAGATTTCATCCCTGGACTTCAGACTTCCAAATTTCCATGAGGCAAAAATACTGAAGATTCAGATTAACTTTTGAGATCGTAAAAGTGCGATAAAGTGCCGTGTGCTTGCGGAGCTTTCTTTGCTACATGCCTCTTACCTTGTACAAGACCTTCGCATGGCAGACATTCGTCTCGCTTCGCTTGTTTACTTGCCTTGTTTACGTTAGCACGTATTGCGTGCCTATTGCACATTTGCGTCAAAACAAGCTGTTTCCATTACTCTATTTGGGCCACGCCCAAATAAAAAAGAGCCTTTTCCATGAAAAAGCAAATTTATGGTTCAAACCATGAATGGAAGGCATACCCCCTAACATGGCTGCCCTTATTTATTGATGACAATGCTGCCTACTTAAATTTTTTTCTTCTACTACTTTTAAAATAGATGGGAAATTTCCTGGCCAGGATTTAGGCAAAAAAGAGGCAAAACTTGCTTGAAGTACAATAAACTGGTGAATTTACCTAAGGTGCATTATTATAACATGCAATAACATTTCATTCTATTTAAACTTTATTTGCAGGTTGAAGAGGAGCAAGAGAACCTGAGAAAACGTCAGGAGGTATGTATACTGTAATCATGACAAACATGAGTTAAATGGTCGGCCCCTAATGTGACCCAGGGTTCAAAAACCCGGTGTCAACTCCATTTGTGGGTTGAATTTGTTGTTGGTTCTCTCCCTTGCTCTGAGAGGATTTTCTCCAGGTACCCCCGTTTTCCCCTCTCTTCAAAAACCAACATTTGCAAATCCCAATTCAACCAGGAATAAGTGCAAATGGAGAATCCCTATGAGAAAGTGCTACCGCTAAAGGCTGGTTTTCACTAGCGACGGAGTCGGAGTTAGAGTCGTAATCGGAAGTGTAGAGCTTATGATCTAGTGAAAAAAGGTTACGATTCTGTCGCTTACGTTCCTCTTATGATCTAGTGAAAACCAGATTGATGAAGTTGGAAGCTGAAGCAGAAGAACTAAACCAATCACAAAGCGTGGGAACATGCACTGTGATTGGCTTCTGACTCTGACAATCTGGTTTTCACTAGGTCATAATTGGAAAGTAAGCTTCTGACTCCGATTCCATTGTGCTTATGTCTCCACATACGACCCCAATTTTTTATTTTCACTGGGTGATAAGCACTCTTACGGCTCTGCTTATGACTCCGACTCTGACTCTGTCGGTAGTGAAAACCAGCCTTAAATCGTTATTTTATTTATTTATTTTATATTATTAGTTCAATGGTATTTAGCAATTAATGAATTCGGCTTTCATAGGATATGAAGAATTATGCAGATCGAGGAGGGTGTTAGCCACCGAGGCTGAAGGTCGATCTGCATAATTCTTCATAACCTATGAAAGCCGAATTCATTAATTGCTTTATTATTCATTCAAAATAATTTCTAGTTTAAAAACAAGCTAAAACGTGCTTACCTTCGTTGATGTTAAGTTCACCTCGATAGTGCATGTTTAGAAGATAAAGGGCTCTTCAGGTCTGCAAATATACTCCAAATAGCAGATGTCCGTCGAGTTGTCTTCTTGCTATGTTTTTAGACAATAGTTCGTCATGAAACGAGTAAAATGTTCCGCCGACTGTTAGGCCATTTTTCTTTTCACAACCAAAACAATTCAACCTCGTCCCCACTTCTTCTCGGTTAACAGTGCATTAACCTGCAACTGTGTTGCACTTTTGACGTCATCGGTTGATTAATCGCAAAATTCTTCCAAATTTGGTCAACAGTGGCTGGTTATGGTGAATTATGCATGTGCTTTTAGCCAATCAGAAAAGGAGAAATATTTTGAATGAATAATAAACAGTATTATTGTATTTTGATATTGCAGGAATTAGAGCGCAAGGCAGCAGAGTTGCAGAGAAAAGAGCATGAGTTACAGAGAATGCAGTTTGGAGGTACTGAACAGTAGGGTTGCAAAGCATTCTTTTCCCAAGTTCATTTTGGCTGCTGGAAAACATTAGCTCATACTATTTACAGGTCTTTAAGGCCAGAACACACTAGGTGAAAAGTTGCAGCAACACACCAAGGTGACAGATCACTCTGGCTCGTGTGCAGGTTGCATGACTAGTTGCAGCAACATGTTGCAGTGACACATCGCAGCGACAAATCACTTTGTGTGTACAGGAGAATTTTTGTAAAAATCTTTGTCTCCACAACAACTTGCAAAAAATCATAATCAGACTGAATTTGTGCAACTTTTTGCGGCGACAAAATTCTGTTGCAGAGAAAAAGATTTTCATAAAAATTATCCAGTATGCATGAAGAGATTTATTGCTGCAATGTGTCGTTGCCACATGTTGATACAACGTGTCGCCTAGTGTGTACTGACCTTTACCTGTCCAAATACCTGTTCTGTGCTACATGACTCTCTTGTGAAGCCATTTGCCTTGAGTTGAAAGAGAAAGAAAATTTGTTCTTATTTTTTCTAGATATTGTCTTTGTGTTTGTCATTAGCCCCCCCCCCCTTCCCCCCAAAAAAGATCGCAAAACCTCTTTGTGTTAAAGGCCCATTGCCATCCTTGATGCAAAGCGGTCATTTGTTTTTGTTTTGAAATCTTGCTGTTGTAAATGGCATGCTCTGATTGGTCAACACTTTTGCCAGGCTTTCTCGGAAAAAAGACAAAAATAATAGTCAGTTGTGGTTGCGTCGGGATTGTGTTTTTCCTTATCACAGTTCATTTGAATGGATGACATTGCTTTTGCGAATGGATAGCCAGAGCCGTTTAAACGGATGACAATTTTTTTCGAACTGATCACCAGTTCGGACGGATACCAAGTCTTTTGCAGAAATAAGCCTTTCACAACTATAAGTAATTTAGTGTAACACAAAATGCGCGGGATTTGTGTCCGCTGCGCACAATGTATCAAGGTAGGCTATGGGCCTTTAAATGTAAGGTTTATACATAGACTGAGATTTTTCTTTGCCCACAGGTACAATTAAGTTACTAGGGACCAACAGGCACTACTAGAAGACACCCTCATAAAAACAACTTTTAAGTTAATAAATGTTTTCTAAAGGCTAATTTTGTATTAATTTTCCATCACTCCAAGGGGGTATTGTAAAAAGCTCCAGATAAACTCAACTTTCTTACTATAGTTATTAGAGGAGACTGGTTATGAAAAGCGGCAAACATCAATGATAAAAACAACAGTGCTGCAGTTTATGTTGGAAGCACCCTGAAAGTGCACAATCCTTTGTTTTCTGTTGGCAAATTGTTACGGAATAAATTAATGCAACGTTTTTATTGGTCAATACAATCAAAATGATAGGAATTCTTTTGAACGTTGTGCACTTTCAGGTCCACAAAAACATATAACAAAGGAGTCTGACGGGTTTCATAACCATTCCACTCAATTAACTATATTCTTACCCACTACTAATTTTGATCACAATTTCAACATTTTTTTAAAAATTTCATCTAGTAGCATTACAATAAATAGAATAATATATTACATTAGATCTTTTATGTATTAACCTTTATATTGCAGGTTATAGAGAAAACAACTTTCCACCTCTGCCATCAAAATGCCCTTGCAAGCCATGTTTTTTCCATGATATTACCATTGACATCCCCATTCAATATCAGAAGACGTGCAAATTACTTTTCTACAGATGGCAAGGTAGGGCTGGTCATGATCAAAACATGAATTGTTTTCTTTTGCTTCTTTCTTTATTAGAAATTTGTTATTGATCGTAGAATTTTGTGCTAGAAGAAAAAGAATCAAAGCAGGTTTTACGTCAGCCACCGGCTATTGGTGTGATTCAGCACCTGTGCAATTAGTCTCGCTTGTGTAACCAGCGAGACTAATAATCTGCAACGCGTTTTTCGCCCGAGTTGGGGGGTATTCCCTTACCGCGCCAAAGGGTATGTTTTTTGTAGCCGTTCTGGTCTGAAATAGGGTTTCAATTTCGACCATTTTGGTCTGAAATAGGGTATGGTTTGTGCACTCTAGTCTTGAATTGGGCCTGTTTTTTAGAAGAACTAGCTACTTCTTTATCATTTGGCGATAAGACCATTTCCCTTTTATTGTTTACGCCAACTACAGTGTACCTACCCTAACAGATTGTCACGCGCTCCTGTCACACGCCGGGCTCCAGGGCTTCAGATCTGAAATAGGGTAGGGAAAATCACAGATTTTGGTTTGAAATAGGGTGAGGGTTTGATGAAGCATGCCGCACACCCCCTCCCAATTTTTCTGGAAGTTCTCCCTGGAACTCTTGGTCGTTTTTTAGGACACAAAAGGCAGGTCATTGTGCCAGGCGTTCCTTGCGGAGACCGTGGAAACTGGGACTAAGAGTCGTTGCGTGATCGAAGCCACGCATGTTTTGCAAAGAAAGCTCAGGAAAGATGAAATTTAGAGCTTTTCCGAAACGTGTCGGTCCACGAATTCTATCGCTTGAAAGCGTTGATTACTTTGGAACGAGTGAACACTACTGAGTGGTCGGAAAAAAATAAGAATCTTAATTAGCAAAATTGCAATGGTCGGGTATTGTAAACTTTCACTGTATGCAAATAAGTCTTTTAATGAGCATTTGATTTATTTTCGGCGATGATTGAAATGACGTGCCATGTAATTCACTCTTTTGATATCTGGCAATGATGTAATTTCTCTGGAATCGAGGCCCTTGAATTTTCGTGTATTTATACACGCGGCATAGCCTGCTACCGCAGGCTAGAGGTATTTCACAGGAGAAAATAACAGATTGCCAATATTGGATATTTTAGGATATTTAAAGAATACCCACAAAAATCCCAAATTTGGCAAAGGGAGACAAGTCCCAACCAGGGAATTCTCAACCAAGTTCCCTGGTTGGGACTTGTCTCACTTTTCCAAATTTGGGATTTCTGTGGGTATTCTTTAAATACCCTAAAATATCCAAAAATGGGAATCTGTTATTTTTTCCTGTGTTTTTGGTCGTCGCTAACACGCATACTAAATCAATTCAGAAACAAATAAAAAGTGTCGACGTTGATAAAGAAGGAACTAAAAAAACTTTAGCGAGTAAATCATTTTTGTTGTAGAATTAGTTGCCTCCTCATTTCTCGATCTAATCTCCAAGCAGGCGAGACGCCAATGCCGCTGTAAGCGCGTTCTTGTTTAACCTACATCATTCACTCTGCTGAGTTAGAGCAGAGAATGATGTCATGTTTTTGAGTTGCACTTTTTTCAAGGAGTACAAAGAAAAACCGG